GGTGGGAATAGCTGGAATCTGAGATCTTGGCCATATTTGGACACTTTTATGGGTTACTATGGTAACTATAATGCTGTTTTGGTGCCAGTAAACATAATTTTGATATATTAAGGCATTATGATGATGATATAATGAGCTAGAGTTTGCTCAGAGGTTACTGGTGACTGACCTGTGCTTGTCCCTCTGTTTCTCATAAGAGGAGATGCCTTGTAGGATGCCTGGCTGGGAGTGTGCTGTGGGTCATCAATGTTAAGTTTCTTCTCTGGCCCATCTCAGTGTTCTCATTGACTTACATATACCATTTTCTGTTGGCTTATCTAACAGGATGTGACTTTTCTCCCTAAGAGTGCCCCCTCCCCCCACAGTTTGGGGGCCACACCTGGTGATTCTGAGGGATTATTCCTGGGTCTTTGCTCAAGAATCACTCCTGGCAGGGCTCTGGGAGCAGGGATATATGTGCTGACAGGAATTGGACCCAAATAGGCTATGTGCAAGGCAAGCACCCCACCCACTGCACTATCTCTTAGGGCTTCCCTGTTCTTATTAATATGGTGAAGTGCATTAGCTGCTTTTCAAATTTTAAGACAACTTTGAACTCCTGAGTTAAATTCCGTTTACTCACGATATGGAAATTTTTTTTTGTTTACTAGCATTTTTTTTGAAGTTTAAATATCTGTTATCCTAATTATGCCACCCCCTATTCAGTCACAAGTAACGAGTCCCCAGATTACATGTACTTCTATCTGGTTCTGGAAATTTAAGGGTTCTCGTAATTTTCTCAGCTGTAGTAATTTATTATGGTTCACGGATTTAGGGAAATACTTTACTATTAAAAGTTTATTCTAAGGCATATTTTAGAGACTCAAAAACTTGCCACTACAAAATATGTCCTTAGTTTTATGGGCTCTGCAGATGGCATGGAGGTTGCCTTTCATGAAAGACATTTTACATGCATTAAGGAAACAATGGTATGGAGTCTCCTAGTGTTTCGGGAAAAATCTAACCTTCGCTGTTATAGTGGATAAGGCAGAACTGAATCTGCAGATGTGGGTATTTTTCACTATCTTATTATATTCATATATATATTTATAGATATATATAGATATGTATATCTATGTAGTTATACCTATATGTCTATATATATGCATATCTATGTATGTTTTCCTGTATCTTTATTCATATCCTCCATACCTGACCTCCCTCACAGCTTCTTAGAAGTCTTTAATTTTAGTTGAAGCTTTTTTAAGGAAATTACTTGGATGAATTATCTAGTGTTTATGGGCTTTTTATTTACTTATAGGTAGTCTCTGTCACTGTCATTGTCCTCCCGTTGTTCATCGATTTGCTCGAGGGGGCCCAGTAACATTGTGAGACTTATTACTGTGTTTGGCATATCGAAAACATCACGGGTAGCTTGACAGGCTTTGCCGCGCGGGTGAGATACTCTCCGTAGCTTGCTGGGCTCTCCGAGAAGGGCGGAGGAATTGAACCTGGGGCAACCAGGTTGGCCGCGTGCAAGGCAAATGCACTACCTACTGTGCTATTTATTACTTAAATCCTTTATTATTTTTCCATCTTCCTCTCTGCTACTTTTTGATTATTTGCCAGCCTAGAGGAAACTAGAGGGTTGTGGGGTTATTTCCCTTGAGCTGTGACAACACAAATGAATAGCAAGTAGAAAAGGAGTATAAAGTTTTGAGAGGGGGAGCATCTAATCAGTTTAGAGTCTGAGATGCCAGATCTGTCTGACATGCCAGATATATCGTCAACCTGAAACATTTGCCATAGAGTTCTTATAGAGCTTAATTTGTATAAAACTCCACATATATTCTCTCCATTCTTAGATTTCAGTGGATGGGGCTGAAAGTTCCTCTCTGAGGCCATCACACTCCCTTCCCTCTGTCTCACTTCCACTCACACACATAGTTTGCTGAAGCTATATCCATAAGCCAGACTCCCCAGTTATCTAAATCTTTGAGGTTATATGGACATTCCTAGAGCTCTGAGTCAAGGGTAAAGGTAAAAGGTAAAGGTAAAGGCCCTCCCGTTGATCGTCGATTTGCTCGAGCGGGCCCAGTAACGTCTCCATTGGAGACTTTGTTGTTACTGTGTCTGGCATATCAAATACTCTCGGTAGCTTGCCGGGCTCTCCGAGAGGGGCGGAGGAATCGAACTCGGGTCGGCCATATTGGCCGCATGTAAGGCAAACGCCCTACCCGCTGTGCTATCGCTCCAGCCCCTGAGTCAAGGGAAAACACTTAATTAATTAATTAATTTATTTATTATGCCATCATGCTAAATACCATGACTATGAAATGGGATAAGATGGATCTCTTGGGTCCAAACTGATACTGCATATTGGTTTGATCCCCAGCACCACATATGGTCCCCCAGACCCACAGGGTGTGATCCCTGAGTGCAGAACCAAGAGCAACACTGAGCACAGTTGATTGTGTCGCCAAAACAAAACAGACAAAAGAAAGACAAAAAAAAAAAAGAGGGAGGAGGAAAGACACATGGGACTGTCTTCTTGGCCACATCCCTGTTTTGAGTAGTGAAACTTGTCAAAAGAAGGATAGTCAATGTCCAAGTACTGGTTTTTTTTTTTTTTTGTGAGACTTAGTAGTTTCTTTAGAATTTTTTTTTTTTAAATTTCTGTATGCTTTAAGATGTTTTATAGAGATCTAGCCTTCTTTTAAAAAGAAGTTTTCATATTTTGGAGAGAGAACTCACAGGACTGGGTGTGTGTGTGTGTGTGTGTGTGTGTGTGTGTGTGTGTGTGTGTGTGTGTTTCCCATGGGAGTCTCTCTCTTTTTTTTTTTTCAATTTCCTGTACCACTTTCCCGTGAGCACTGCCGGCAGTATCCCCAGACTTTCGAGTGTGAAATGTTCCCTGGGCATTGTGTTGCGCCCAAATAGGAAAATTAAAATTTTCAGCAGTTAAGAAACATTTCAATAAAGATTGAAATTATTTTAGAGAGGTCCTCATGCTATTATTCTGGAATTGGAAATTTTTACAAGGCCCTCTCTTTGTTTTTAATGAGAGAGCATGTTAATTAAACAGAACCCTTTGGGTTTAAAAGCTCTGAGCTTGTATACTCGCATACTTTACGGTGATCACCTTATAACATTATTCTGTACTTTTTTTCAAAATTTGATTAGTGATGTTGTTTGTTCTATCACATCGGTACACTTGCTGTATGATTCTTTTGGCCGAAGGAAGTACATCTGATTAAAAATTCATTTGAAATATGATGTATATATCTTATTAAAAATCATTTGAAAGACAATGTAAGAAGATCTGAGGGCCAGTATCACTTTATATATTAAACTATTCTATTATGCTACTTAAAATATCCTAAGAACTCTGGGTTTGATTACTGGCACCACCAAAATTAATGAATAAATATGTAATTAATGAATTAAATAATTAAGTTTCCTAATATCATGGCAATTCAGGACTTAAAACCGACTTTCTATTTTGCCACCCATTTTCTGAAATTACTGGAGCAATAGCACAGTGGTAGGGCGTTTGCCTTGCACGCAGCCAACATGGCCGACCCGAGTTCGATTCCTCCACCCCTTTCGGAGAGCCTCGCAAGCTACCGAGAGTATTCGATATGCCAAACACAGTAACAACAAAGTCTCCAATGGAGACGTTACTGGGCCCGCTCAAGCAAATCGATGATCAACGTTTAGGGGCTGGAGTGATAGTACAGCAGTAGGGCGTTTGCCTTGCACGCAGCCAACATGGCCGACCCAAGTTCGATTCCTCCGCCCCTCTCGGAGAGCCCGGCAAGCTACCGAGAGTATTCAATATGCCAAACACAGTAACAACAAAGTCTCCAATGGAGACGTTACTGGGCCCGCTCGAGCAAATCGATGATCAACGGGAGGGCCTTTACCTTTACCTTTTAGTATCATAATGGCTCACAATTTTTAACTTTGTTTTCCTCTTCCAGAGAGAAAAACTTTGGACTCAAATTCTCAAATTTGCTGGACTCCTGTCGATATGCATTCTCAGGGACCCAAATTAGGAATTTTATTTTTTTATGTCTGAGATAAACTTTCTTTTATGACCTGTCTCAATTTTTTTTTCCTCAGATGTTTTGGTTTTCAAATACTTGTACCAGATTGCCTTATATATCAAATTAGGGGACTAACTATATTTTGTTTAAAAGTTTAATAGAACAAATGTTGTATTTAATAGGCCAAATTCTATTCCAGAGATACTAATCTATACAACTGTGTTATGAAAATCCAAGAATATTGTGATAATTTCTGTACCAACTTTTTGAAAAACAATTTTTATTGACGTAATAGGGTTTCTAACTACCTTAAAATCATACTTTTTTAGGCATACACCATTCTAGCATCACACCCATCACCGAAAACCTTTCACCTTCCTCCACCAATGTCCCCAGGACTCCTTCTAGTGCTCTCATTCTTGGTTTAATAGACAAATCTTCAATTCTGATTGATGATTTTAACCATTTGTTCTTTTTGATATTTCTCCTTTATCCCATATATGGCATTTTTTAAAATTGGTAAAGTGGTGACATCTACACACATATAAACAAATAGAAATAATCTCCTGAAATTCTACAAAATTATAAATCAGTAACCAACTTTTACTTTTAATTTAATTTGACTTGGGGGCATGATATGTGCTCCAGGTTACTCCTGGATGAGTGCTCAGGGGCTGTTTCCAGTGCTGCTTGGTAGATTGAACCAAAGGCCTTCAGCATCAAAGCTTCTGTACCAGGCCACTGAACTCTCTCTCTCTCTCTCTCTCTTTCTGACTTTCCTTTCCAACCTTTCACTTAATGAACTATTGTGTGAATTAAAACATTAATGGATAATTTAAATTTTTGCTTGTATTTATTTGTATTTTTCATATTTGCCCATGTTAATGATTTTCCTCCATCCTGTTTTAGAATGCTAATGTTTTCTAGATTCATTTTTTTTACATTAGCTATAAATGTAATTTTTTTTTTTAGACAAAACTTCAGTGGCTCTGCGAGGAACTGAAAGAGAGAGAAAGCAGAGAGAAAAATCTGCGACAGCAGCTCGTGGTGTGCAGACAACAACTCAGAAATTTGACCGAAAACAAGGAATCTGAACTACTGTGTCTCTTTGAACAGATTGAAAGGCAGGAGCAGCTTCTGGAAGAAATACATCGTGAGAAGAGAGGTGTGTTAGCCTTTACTACTTTAATTTTTATTTGTTTATATTCATGGAATCCTAAGATTGGGAGAAAACCGACTTTTCTTGTCTCCAATTTGAACCATTTCCGAGTCCTCAGCTACTTCATTACATTTAGCACTGGCCATTTGCAAGTTTTGATGTGGTAAGATACACACACACACACACAGATAAACATGTGTGTGTGTATATGTATATATATGTATATATATTCGGTCACAGTCCTCCCGTTGTTCATCGATTTGCTCGAGCGGGCCCAGTAACGTCTCCATTGTGACATTTGTTACTGTGTTTGGCATATCGAATACTTCACGGGGAGCTTGCCAGGCTCTGCCGTGCGGGTGAGATACTCTCGGTAGCTAGCCGGGCTTATATATGTATATATTTCTAATTACTCCAGGAGGAAATTGTGTTCACTAAATAAAAACAATCAAAAGTTCCAGGAAAGCAGAATGAGTTCCTGATTTTCAAAAGAGCTGATAATTTCTGTTTAATGGCAAATAAGAAATATGTCAATTCTAGTTGCTAAGCAGAATTGAGTGTGGCCCCAAAACCCAAAAAATACTAAAAATTCCTGGGGGAAGGTATATTTTATTAGAGCTAAAGAATTTCCACCCAGGAGGCCCCTCCACTGCTGCATAACCTGGATAACTGAACTTCACTGTGGGTCCTCAGCAATCCCACATTCGTTGAACCCCCATCCCAAATGGACGAGAAGATTTCGGATTGGCCCCAGCTCCTCGTCACCATTCTGAGGACAGCCACCCCACAAATTTAACTCATTTAATGACTGTTTCAGACATTAAATTTCTGTGATTTTATATGAATCTGTGTTGGAGCGACAGCACAGCGGGAAGGGCGTTTGCCTTGCACGTAGCCGACCTGGGCTTGATTCCTCCGCCCCTCTAGGAGAGTCTTTCCTTTCCTAAATTTTAATTGAACTATAGCAAATAAAGAGTAGTAGATAGCCAAAGAAAAATCCTATCTTTTTAAATGAAAAACAAAGAACTTACTTTGAACAGATTACCCAGGGTTTATGTTTAATTTTACTTAAATGAAGAGTATTCCGCAATAAAACAAAGTTTCAAGGCAAACATAAAATATACAATCTATCCATAAGTGTCCTTTTTCTTATTGCCTTGTGATGCTATCTAGGAAAACAGGACAGAAGTACTTTTCCAAGCCTCTTTCAACATGCATGGTATTGCTTCCATATGAAATACACTAAACCTTTTCCCACTGCTCCCCCAAACTCTGCTTCCCTTATCCTGCTCTTTGTACTCTTTGTACCACTGTACTACTTAAAACATTCTTTTTTTTTTCTTGACAATGAAATTTTATCTCTGAACCCAATTTCTGGTTTAGGGTAGGTACATTTCACTTTGTAGTATGCAGTGTTATTTCAACTTGTTGTTTATTATTCTTATATTAAGCCATGTTTTTTTACTGGAAGGTATAAAAAATTGTTGAAGTAAATTAATGTTAAAGCTACTTTGTTATAGTGCTGCTGCTACTCTTTATCAAGTAGTAGGAAAAACACTTATAGGATATGGAAAAAGATAAGTAATCTTGCTACTACTTCTGAAACTATTATTTTTTTGCAGCTGAGGAGGCTTTATTTTGTTTTGCTTAGGTTTTAGGTGTTCATTTGTAGCTGTGTCTTAGCCAAGAGTTAGAGAATAGATGCTTCATTATTCTTCTTTTTAAATTTCACTTTCATAGTTTTAAGACTTAAGCTTAGCAATGAGTATGGGTGGGGCAGTCATTCTTAGGACTATCCTTCCAAAGGGCTATCTTATTTTTTGCATCTATGAATTTTGCACAAAAACTGTTGAGAAATGTGTATTTTGTAAAATGAAGATTCCATGAAAATAATTCTTTTTGTTTTTTGTTTAGTGGTCTATCCCCCAATATATAGAAAGAATCTCAAACATACTCGATAGGTATGGCAAATGTTTGTTGATTGAATAAGTGAATGAAAAAAGAATACTAAGGGACCAGTTAATAAGAGGCCCTTAATATTTCAGCTCTGGCAAAAGAAATCATAGTGAATCATATAACTAAATAAACTGCATAACAAAAGGAAAAATCAGCAAATATTTTGCTGAAGTTGATTAAGCAATTTAATTGGAGTGGTTTACATTTTGTTTATGACACTTTGGGATTAAGGTAATATTATTTGTCTCTCCTAATATTTCAGTTATGCATTACTATTGTACCTTAAACCATTTATATTTATATTCATTTTCTGACAATATTCTCCAAGAGCATCCTGATTTATTTAGGGATACTATAACATTGTTAGTAGTAATTCTAGCCATATTTTGTGTATGACTGGCTTAGCTCTCTAGTACAATGTGAAAAATTTAAAACTGCCTGAATACCAAAAAGGCAAACCAAAGATATTAAAACTATGTGTGCCAGGGATCAAACCCAGGCTAGCCTTATGCAAGGCAGGTGCCCCAACCATTGTACAAACTCTTTGGGTCTCTAGAGTATTATTTGTTTGCTACAGATCATTGTAAACTTAAGGAGGATTATAGATGCTGAGTAAAAAGATCTAAAATGGGAGAAGTTTAACAGGCGAAAGAAAGAAATTGATATTTTATTTTGGTATATAATTAAACATTCTAAATTAATTTAGGGGATAATCAGTAAGAGGAATATAATTGATCTATTTGGATTCAGACTATTTTACATTGTTACAAATTAAGGGGTTTAGTGATCTATGAAAGGTTATTTAGGTTGAGAGGTTACATACTTTAAGATAAGAATATATAGGAGCTGGAGTAATAGTGAGTAGGGCATTTGTCTTACGTGTAGCCGACCCGGGTTCTATTCCCAGCATCCCATATGGTCCCCCTCAAGCTCCGCCAGGAGTGATTTCTGAGTGCAAAGCCAGGAGTAACCCCTGAGCATTGTCGGTGTGACCCAAAAAAGTGAAAAAAAAAGATGAGAATAGGTTTGCCTTGCACACCGCTGACTAGGGCGACCTGGGTTTGATTCCTCCACCTCTTTTGGAGAGCCTGGCCAGCTACCAAGAGTATCTCGCCTGCACAGCAAAGCCTGGCAAGCTACCCGTGACGTATTCCATATGCCAAACACAGTAACAACAAGTCTCACAATGGAGACGTTACTGAGTCTGCTTGAGCAAATCTATGAACAACGAGAGGACAGATAGACAGTTTATTTTCATACAACTTAATGACTGTTTTCAAAAACAAATTGGGAGACCATAGGTTTATATTTTTCTTGTTTTGGGGGCCAGCTGTGCTCAGGGTTTCCTCATAGCTCTGCCCTCCATGTGTGTCAGTGTGTAAAAGGCATACCATGTACATACTCTACTATGTCTCCTGACTCAGTAGTTTTGATGTCCGCTACTTCAGTCAAATTTTTTTGTTTTAATTGTTTTATTCTTGTTTACTTAAAAAAATTTATTTGAGAAAGTTCCAAGAATCAAATTCAGTGCATCATCATTAAAGTATGCACTCTACCATTGAACTGCATCTCCTGCTCCTTATATGTTTATTTATTTATTGTGTTTGCTTATTTTTGGAGTACTGGGGTTTGAAACCTTGTGTCTCATACATGTGAAGTAAGGATGCCCCGTGTGCATTAGTCTTAATCTGTTTCTGTTTTCATGTTTCATTAGAATTTATATATTTTATGTGTAGTAAATGTTTTGATTTATTACATCTGTACAATATATTGCACAATATATATCAAAATATAGTTCAGATCCATAGGAACTAAAATGAAATCCTATTTGTTAAATATTTTCAGTACCGTCACTAAATAAATTGATGAGATGACTAAAACTCCTGATGCAAAGATCTGTGTTGATATCAAGTTTAATTGCATATGTAATTTAAATTCATTTTGTTAGAAGTAAATTAGCAATTAGAAGCTATGACATTAAAATTTTTTTTTGAGAAATACACTCTTAGCAATAAATTTCTCTGCCCTGCTGTTTGTTTGTTTGTGTACTAACACAAGTATGACACTTATAGCGTAAACTTAATTTTAGAGTATTTTCAGTGTCTCTAGTAACATGAATTTGACAGTAGTCAAGTTTTGATTGAAGGGAAAGTTGAGATATTCAATGTTTATATTCTTCTTCTAAATTATTAGATGTAGTTCTGTGTTGTCTTTAAATGTAGAAATATTATGTGAACCAATTACTTTTTATTTTTTTGGGGGGGGTTACACCCAGTGATGCTCAGGGGTTACTCCTGGCTCTGCACTCAAGAATTAATCCTGATTAGGTGTTGGGGACCATATGGGATACCAGGTATCTAAACCAGGTCAATGTGTGTAAGGCAAGCACCCTACCTGCTGTACTATCTTTCCAGCCCTGATGTGAACCAGTTTTTACATTTTCTTACTTTACCCTCTCACATGTCACTGTGGGGTTTTCTGAGGGGATTCATAGTAAGGGAAAGGATTCATAGTAATGGTACTGAAAACATTTAAGAAATAGGGCTTCATTTCAGTTTCTATGGATCTGGACTACATTTTAATATATATTGTACAATATATTATATAGATGTTATAAATCATTTATAAAAGGGAATTTAAAATTTAAATTAAATTTGAATTATAGAGCTCCAAAATCAAATTCAGGGGGAAAACTAGTGTTGCAAGTACTAAAATAGACTTGATGTAAGTTTTTAGGCAGTAAGTGGTTTTCATTGAAAAATATCATTGCTGTGTCTGTAATTCTACATCCATCTTCTCTAAAAATATCTACTTCCTAGTCTCCCCAGGTTTTTAAAATCCATCATTACATTACTTGGCAAAGGATATTTGTGGTTCAAAGCTTTGAAGTGGGAAGATTGTTTTGACCCCAGTGTAATCAGAAGGGCTGTATTTTTTTTTTCTTTAACATGAAAGAAGGAAGCAGTAGGGAAGTCAGAGTTAAATCACTCTGATAAAGACACAGCCTACTGTTGGTGTCCTTGGACTGGAGAGAGAACAAACCAAGGAAT